CCAGCTGGGGCTACAGGGAAACCCTGTCTCAAAAAGACAGGAAAAAAAAAAAAAAAAAAAAAGCACAAAAGTCAAACAGCAAACACCAGTAAATAGTTTCTACATTTCTGTATTTATTACAAGCTCCTATATCTCCTCCTCTCCAATTTATAAAAATCTTTAGAGGAAGCCAGACAATGCACACCTTTTTTTTTTTTTTAATCCAAGCACTCATGTGGCAAGGGCAGTCAGTTCTCTGTGGGTCTGAGGCCTGCCTGGTCTATACAGCAAGTTTCAGGTCAGCCGGGGCTACGTAGTGAGACCCCATCTTAAAAAGAATATAGGGCCAGGTGTGGTGGTGCACACCTTTGATCCCAGCTCTCGGGAGGCAGAGGCAGGCGGATCTCTGTGAGTTCAAGGCCATCCTTGTCTACATAAGTTGAGTTCAGCTGGGGCTACAGGGAGACCCTGTATCAAAAAGACCCCCCCCAAAAAAAAAACGAATATAAAGAAAATTGCTGTTCAGTACTCTTAACAGCATTCCATGCAAACAGTCAAATATTTAAGCAACATTTTAGTGGTTTCTCCCTAGCCAAAAACCAAAGATAATCCTTGACCTGGCATTATTAGAGAAAAGAAAGAGAAAGAACCATCAGATATTTAAACTAGAACACTTTCATTATAAAGAGAAGCATAAAAAGGATTAAGGACTATCTAATGTTAAACACACAGTGAAAACTGACAACATCCAACTCTCAACGCAGGACCCCACTGCTTTTCTAAAGCAGGGAACAAAAATCAACTTAGCACTTTTTTTTTAACTTAGCACTCTTTCAAAAAAGCAAAATAGAAACCATCAGAGAAGACTATACACATTACAGATTTTGTTTTTTGCAAATATTTCTCAGTTTATTTTACATACACACATGCATATGTAGTTATAAATCTATAAAGTCTGTAGATAAAAAGATTTCTTGCTATGAGCTGCGGTTAAGCCAGGCATGGTGGCACATGCCTTTAATCCCAACATTCAAAGAGGCAGAGGCAGGCAGGTCTCTGTGAGACAGAGGCCAGCCTGGTCTATATAGTGAGTTCCAGCTGGGGCTATAGGGAGACCCTGTCTCAGAAAAAAGAAAAAAAGAACAGGAAGCTGAAGAAATAGTTCAGCAGTTAAGAGCACTTCTTGCTCTTCCAGAGGACTCAGGTTCAGTTCTCATCACCAGGGGATCTGACTCCCTCTTCTGACCTCCATGGTTACCTCATGACACAGGTACAGTTACATACATGCATTCAATACGCTCAAACACATAAAATAAATAAAAATAAAGATTAAAAAAAAGGAAATCTTTCTTTTAAGGCTTAAAAAAAAAAACTCATGGGGCTGGAGAGATGGCTCAGGGGTTAAGAACCCCTTCTTGCAAAAGACCCAGGTTCAAATCCCAGCACCCACAGGGCAGCTAACAACTGTAACTCCAGTTCCAGGGGATCCAACAGCCTCTTTTGTCCTCCACCGGCATTGCAGGGCATGGGTGCACTTACCTACATGCAGGCAATACATACATACACATAAAATAAAAATAATAAAATATATTTTTTTAAAACTCAGTGTATTTCAAACTGCCTGTCATGAGTACTTCCTTATTTTTTATGCAAACATTGTTAATAGTGACATTAAAAAACATTAACAGATGGCTAATCCAACCTTAAAATCTCTCATTCAAATCCCATTTTGCATTGATTCTGTTCTCCATTTTGTGCTGTTATGAATTATAGCTAAGAGTAACAGCAGCAGCCACCACCAACAGGCACAGCAGCCCTGACTTAGCCTATGGTACTACACACTGCCTGTTGGACTCCCAAGGAATTTACAACGCAGAGGCCTGTGTTTATTATACATATATAAAAAGACACAGTATGTACCAGAGCTCAGAGGTGTACACAGTTCTCTCAAAAAAAGATTCAGAAATAAGCACACCCCCCCCACTTGGCCCTGGAATAGAATTTCTGGTGAAAGGTCCATTCCTAAAATATTTTCTCTACATAATATTGCCTGAGGCAAATATCTGGAGGGAATGATTTAACAAAGGAAAGAACTAGCCAACTCTACAATTAGGCCTAAAATTTAAGATGTACTGCCTTGGCCCCTGCGGGTATAAGGTTACTGGGTTCAAACCACAATGCCAGAAAGCAAAGATAAAAAAATAAAATGTACTGCTTTGAAGAAAGCTACATAATTTCCTGCTAAGAAACAGTTATCATTTTTAGATCGCATCTTTGGGAGACAACAATGGAGCTAAAAATTACAAAAACAGATCTTAAAAGAGGGAATAAAGTAAGGCAGGGATAAAAACAGAAACTACCACAGCAAAAGGAAAAATACTTCATCATGGCTGTGCTATAGTAAAAGTTAATCTGAAATATATTATGTAGCTCCTGATAGTTCCATCACAAACCTGGCCTACTCAGAGCCTTAGCCAATTGTAAGCTGCATCCAACAATCCTAATCCCCTTCGAAACTAACTAGACTAATACCAAGTACCCTGGCCACAGGCCTACAAAAAGGGGCCACAAAGAAAACCAATAGCTGAATTAGAAGACCTCATGAAGAACAAAAGTGAACTGGGGTTGGAAGACTGTCAAATGAAAATTACAAAGAAGCACGAAAATAGCTACACAGGCTATGAGCTAAAGAGAAGGAACTAAGCATATTTAAACAAATGAACGCCAGGCAAGGTGGTGCACACCTTTAACCCCAGCACTGGGGAGGCAGAGGCAGGTGGATCAGTTCAAGGCCAGCCTAGTCTGCACAGCAAGTTCCAGGACATCTGGGGCTACAAGGAGACCCTGTCTCAAAAAAATCAAATAAATATTTTTAAAAATTTTTTTATAAAAGATCAGAAAACATGCCACTAAGAGACAGGGGGATGAACTGGTTGGTCAAGACTATGATTTCTGGAAGCCTTCTAGTTCTTTCATGAGTATGCTTTTATTGGGGTGGACATAAGAAAGCTATAGAACTTCCAGCAAGGAAAAAAACCTTTAGACACAAATAAATGAGTAAAAGAGTTTACATCATTTTTTTCTCATTAAAAGGACATTTCAAAATCCTTACCATTGAAACTCTGAGGCAGAAGAGTCCTTGGAATCAGATCAATATTTTAGACATAAAGAACCCAAACCTATGATTATACAGACAATGGCAGAGCTAGGTCAAGAACCAAAGACTCCTCTTCCAAAGTCATTATTCTGTCTCCCACATTACACTAAATAACACCAATAGAAATATTTTCTTCAGAATGAGTGTTTTACCACATATTTACAGGCGAGAATCAGAAATCTTTATATGCATATGCTTTCTTCCACAGTTTAAACAAGTTTCCCAATAATTAACTTCTTTGGCTGTTACTCCTCTTTTCCTTATGGAAATTTCTTTCTTTTTTTTTTTTTTTTTAGACTGTCTCCCTGTAGCCCCAGCTGGCCTGGAACTCACTATGTAGATCAGGCTGGCCTTGAACTCACAGAGATCCAGCTGTCTCTGCCTCCCAAGTGTTGAGATTAAAGCTATGCACCACCGCCCAGCCTCTCATGCAAATTTCTTTTCTTTTTTTTTCTTTTTTTTTTTTTTTTTTTCTTTTTGAGACAGGGTCTCCCCGTAGCCCCAGCTGTCCTGGAACTCACTACCACAGACCAGGCTGGCCTTGAACTCACAGAGATCCTCCTGCCTCTGCCTCCCAAGTGCACCACCACTCCCGGCTCATGTAAATTTCTTTAAAAGCCACTTGTCACTAAAGACATTACACAGACAATTCAGGAGGCCCATCAGCTCCCTGACTCCACTACAGCTGTACATTCAAAACAATGTTTACTCAATTATTTCACATACGGCGCAATAGTGTCTCAACCCAAAGCCGTACAGAACAGACATCTCAAATGAAAACAAATTCATCTGATTATATAAAGGTCTCCTTGAAGAAAATCCAACACCAATGTCAATCAACTGAGAGAGCCAAGCAACCAAAACTGGACTAATAAGAAAATGTCCCAGTCACTCCCAAATTTATTACACTCATTCAATGTGCCTTGAGAACAAAAACTACAACTTGGAAACACAATTCTTAAGGGAGTAAAAATTATGAACTACTGAGAGTGTAAAATAAGGTACAAAAAGTTGGCTTAAGGGAAAAGATGTGAAGCCCATTTTCAGACTGCAGAGTACCTGGGTACTTACTGGGACAAAGCCCTTAAGCTCCTCTAAGGCTTCCTCTCAGGACACAGCTGGAAGTGGGGGAGGTGAATAAGTCCTTGTACAGTATCCCAAAGAGCTGATCCCCAGAAAAGCAGAGTCATCAATTTCCTTAGCACATCTCAGCCATCTTAAAAGGGCAGAAATTAAGAAGCTGGCATGTTTTAAGAATTTCTCTGCTTAAATGTAAGGTGAACGGAGTGTAAAGGGAAGGACACACAACCTGGAGTGCTAATGATTAAGCAAAAGAACACACACACAAGTCCAGGTCGCTTCGGTACCGTACTCCAGGATCTTTCCTCAATGAGCTCATGGTGGAATAGGTTTATTATTTGAGTCTAACAACTTAACAGTATGTGTTATCTTCATCTGCGTGATGAGACAACTCAGGCTTGGAGCCTTCGACGAACCTAGATTGCAGAGAGGGTTCGCGTCCCGGCTGCCCCAGACAGAGGTTTAGGTTCATCCTCACCAGTCCCCAGGGAAAAGAGTTCAGAGAGTTTAAAAAGGGCATGTGATTTCCTCTTTCACCCAAAGTGCAAGAGCACTGAGCTGTCAAGAACAGAAGGCGGAGCGCGCGCGGCTGCGGCCGGCTCTCCATCCCCGCAGCGCGCTGAGCCCCGCGGGGTCGTGGCTGTCACTGGACAAAGGGCGCCCGGCCACGGAGGGCGACAGCGGCCTTTGGGGTGGCTCGGGCCGGGGGCGCTGAGGGGAGTGGCGCGGGGCTTGCGGGGATACCGCCTCCGCCTGCCGCCCGGCCCTCGCCCCCTCGCGTTACCTGGCCCGTGGGCTTCCCGTCACCGTCCCCGCCGCCGCCTCGGGACTCCCGGGCCGGCGCGGCGAAGCCACAGCTGATCCGCGGGCCGCTGGGGCTCCTCGCAGCAGCCTCCAGGTCGAGACGAGGCAGACCGGGCACCGGAGGCAGGACGAGGCTAGCTTCAACTCTTTCCTAGCACTCGCTTCCGCTCCGCCTCCCTGCTCGGCCCTTCCCCCACCCCGGGGGCCCGCGGCGCGCGGCATTGTGGGGGATGTAGTCCGGGTTTCTGGAGAGGACGCACGTGCTCAGCGCCCAGCAGCTCCGACCCCGCACCCGGCAACACTGTTGCTTGGCGACCGAGAGGCGCAGAGGGCTCCTCCAGGCGACGGAAAAGCGAACTTCTCAGAGGCTGAGGGTGCCTTGGGTTGAGTCCACCAGAAAACCAAGCCGCCCCAAGTACTGACCTGAGGCTGGAGGGTGTCGTACAGTTGAATCGTGAAAGGGTGTCCATTATTGCAACCGAAAGTCCTTAGCCAGTGAGTGGAGTAGAGCAAGAAAAATGAAAGGTCCGAAGATGAAATAGAAACAAAATACTCTTCTGCAGGCTGGTTCTATGGCTCAGTGCTTAGGAGCGGCTACTGGTCTTCCAGAGGATCAGAGTTTCAATCCTAGCACCCATGTCAAGAGGCTCACAAGGTGAGCCGAGGATCCGATGCCGTCTCTGGCCTCCGTGGGCGCCCATATTCACACATGGACACACACCCATTCACATAAATCAGTTTTTAAACTTATTTTTTGGTTTTTCTTTTGAAACAGGGTCTCCCTGTAGCCCCAGAAGGCCTGGAACTCACAAGGTAGTCCAGAGATCTCACAGAGATCTACCTGCCTCTGCCTCCACTGTTCTGGGATTAAAGGCATGCGCCAACCACACCCGACTAGAGTATTTTTTTTAGTAGTTTATTATTTATTGTGTATGTATGTAAGTGCGCCCTTGTGCAATGCCCTCCTCGGAGGTCAGAAGAGGGTGTCGAATTCCCCTGAAACTGGAATTATGGACAATGATTAGCCTCCATGTGGGTGTTCGCAATTGATCCTGGGTCCCCTGCAAGAGCATCCAGTGCTCTTAACCGCTGAGCCATCACTCCAGCCCCCAGACCAGAGTATTTTTTAAAAACATTTCCTTTAAGCCCTGCACTCTCTGTGAGTATGCGTTTGAAGTCGGCCTGGTCTACATAGAGAGTTCCAAGCCAGTTGGAGCTATATAGCGAGACTCTGTCTTTAAAAAAAAAAAAAAAAAAACAAGCAAACAACAAAAGCTCTTGACAGAAAATATAATTTTATATGTATATGGAAAATCCAAAACAATCTGTAGACAAATCATTACAATTCAACTAGTAAGAGTTCACCAAAGTTACTACATTAAAAGAAATTAAGGACTTGGGGGTTTGGGGTGTAGTTCAGTGGTAGAACACTTGCCTAGCATGCACATGGTTCTGGATAGAATGCTCAATACATACAAAAATTATATTTAAAAAGTCAAATGTGCATGGAAACCTAGTACCTGTAAGCTAATTTTTAAAAATGATTTAATCAGCATTATTTCTATATTCTAGAAAAGGGTATGGAGGTCAGAGGACAACTTGTGGGAGTTGCAACTCACCTTCCACCATGTGAATATTGGGGATCAAACTGACAAGTCATCTCCAAGGTACAGTTTTTTAAATATTATTTACAGTTGCTCCAAACAATATCAAGTGCCTAGTTATCACATAAATTCAAAACCTGTATGAAGAAAACATTAAGACACTGCAGAAGACCTAAATAAATCATATTCATAGATGAGAATACTGAAAGATGGCAAGTCTCTCCAAATCAGTAGAGCCAGTGAAATTCTGGATGACGTCTCAATGAATTTGTGTGTGTGTGAAACAGAGAAATTCAACAATCTACTTTAAAATTTCATGGGCAAGTGAAGACAAGCTTTCACGAGGATGAGGAGTGAAAAGAAAAATAGGAGAAGAAAAGGAAGAGAAAGGTGAGTGCTATCAGATATAATGCTCTGTTATAAAGCCATAAGTCAATGTGGTATTGGAGCAGATATACTAATGGAACAGAATATACCAATGAAATGGAATAGCTCAGAAGGACTTACGCACCCCTGGAAATTGGGGGAATCTTTTGGGGAGAGGGGATTTATGCTGTCACCATGGCAATACAAAGCAATACTTATTTGGGAAAGGGTGATATTGGACTCTACATTACATACAAAAAAATCAATTCTAAGTAAATAATAGGCATAAATAAACTTGAAAAACAAAATAATAAACTTTTTTTGCTGTTTTTAGACTGTTTAG